TAAATCTTATTGTTAGTTTTAACTGGTATAACTGACATTATATCAGTAATAGCTAACAACACTTTATTTGCGCTGAAGTAACCTATGATGGTGTCCTTCAAGTTTTTTTTTTTTTTTTTTTGTTTTTATTTCAATACATTCAAAAAAAAAATTAATTAATTTACAATTAGATCGTTAGAAAAAATTAATATAAAAACAAAATAATTTTGTTTAGGAGTTTTGGAATAAAATGTTTTCAAATTCACTACCTAAATCAAATTCACTACACTAAGTATACTACGGGCGACATGGTTTAAATTACCATTGCAAACGCGATTGAGAAACGCCTGTTGATAAACGCTTCTTATTTTTTAAACATGTTTTTATGAAAGTTAAAGGGAAATACAGTAGAACTAATAAACAAAATATTACTTTCACCTAGATTGATTTTGTTGTAAAAGTTTGTCCTCAACACTAGTTTTTCAAAGTTTCGAGCATTGTGGGTCAGAATCTTTTTAGTATAAAGTATATTGCAATCTCTTTTCTCTTTTTTAAGAGAAGCAGTAAAAATGTATTCAGAGGAACACCATCTTTATGTTATCTAAGAATATTATGAACTAAAATGCAACTGCAAGACTCAAGTTTTTTCAAAGAGGTTTAACAAATGTGTTTAAAAATCCTAATAATATTTTAAACGCTTACAATGTTGACTATAGTCAATATTTTAAACGTTTAATTAACGTTTAATGAACGTATACATTAAAAGGGGTAATATAAAAATCGAAACCGTCTTTTTTTAGTTAATAATCGGTCGCTAAACGTTTTGTTTATTTCCGACCAATATTGACAAATTATTGACCAATTCTGGCCGACTCTGTGGTTACTTTAACTGAAACTAAGTTTGTACGTGCTTTTAATTGAAATAGAATCATACATAGATAATAGTTTGGTTTGTATATGATGATGAATTTTATCAGCTATTGCTGTTTAATAAATTTGCAGACTAATAGTTTTCTAATGTACGCTTTAACTTTTCTAATGTATACGTTTATTAAATGTTTACTAAACCTTTATGTTTATGACTCATAGTTAACATGAGTCATAAATGAAAACGTTTGTAAACGTTTATTAAACGTATACATTAAAAGAGTTTAAGCGAACATTACAAAACTATTTGTCTATAAGTCGATTAAACGTGTAGAATATTGACTAACAGAAGTCTATAATTTAAAATTTTAATAAACGTATGCACAAAAATAATTATAGCGTACATTTTAAATATTTTATTTAGGTTCCTTAAACGTTTCTAATTTTAACTTATAGTAGTTATCACTGTAAACCTTTATATCTTTAATGCAGAGTAAAAAATTAAACTTTGCTAAGGTTGAAAGGCAGTTTTGAAGAAAATTTTATGACAATCAAAATTTTTTTTCAAAACTAATTTTGTTAGTTTTGGAAAAACTTTGCAAGCAAAAATAATAGTCAAGTTATAAAAAAAGATAACAAGTATCAGTTAATTAAAACGTAAAAAAATATATCTTTGCAATGTATCTAAAAACTTGAAAATAGAAATAGCTCGTACTTACATTCGCAAAACGTAAAAAACTTACACTGAAGAGCAATTGCAACTTGCAGTAGAGTAAATCAAAAAATGCAAAATATCACTAGTAAATCTTCAGAGGCAAACATCATAGTAAAGGCAACAAATGTCCTTTTCTTGCTCCAGCCATTATTTATATATGTAATTTGTCTTTATGGTGAATTAATCACCTTAATTTGTTTATTCACCATTAATGGTAAGTTATTCACCATTATATATTCACCGTGAATATTTAAAGCAAAAAAAAATAAAAAAATCTTTGCTCAACAAAGTCTAATTGCAGCAGACCTGCTTTTGACCATGAAACAATTTAATTTTATTTATTAAATAGTTTTTTTTATATGTTTGATTAAAAAAGTTTTGTTGTAAGCTTAACTTCTAGTAAAATTAGTTTTCATTTTGTTTTAATATAATAAGCATGGTTCCTTAATATCTTTATCATTTGTTGATGAAGTTTAACTGATTTACACTTCCTGTGGCCGTATACCATGTCTCCGTTAAGCTTAACGGAAAGTCTGTCAAAAAGTTCTTTTTAACTACAATAATTTAAAAAATTCTTTAAAAATATAAATTTTTTATATAAACTGTTTAATTTTAGTATTATTTTTAATTGAACAAATTTAAATAAAGTTTTTGTCATTAATTACATAAAGATGTTGAAACAAAAGTTTTGACAAACTCTCCGTTAAGCTTAACGGAGAGATGAGAATACGGCTGCAGATTATCAAGGTAAAGTAAATTTACTTTACCTAAATTAAATCAAATTGTTAAATGTTTTTCTATATATTTTCTATATATATTTCAAAACTAAATCAAAGGTTTATAAACCTTTGTTTTCTTCATAACAATCAATTTATGTTATAATTTTTAAACTATTTTTTCTCAATTTTTTTAATATTTTCGTACTGTAAAAAAATTACTATAAAAATAATAAAAACAAATAACAACCATAAAATGTTTTTTTAAAAAATAATAATTGAAGTTAATTTGTTTAATAATTTAAAGCTAAATTGTTTCTCTTAGACCAGTTTAGTCTTTAGGTATTTATTCAAAAAATTAAAGCCTTCTCCAAATTCTAAATAAAATTGTATTTGTAAAGCTTGAATTATTTTGAAGATTTCATTAAAAAGATTTAAATCCAGTAGAAACAAGGCTCGATCAAATTGTCTAAAAATTTTATTACCACGTTTAAATAGGATTTTGAGACATGTTAAACAAAGTTTATACTTAAATAAAAGATTTTTTCATATTACAAAACCTACCTTATAAGTAAAAAATTGTATTCTTCACTTATAATCCTATAGCATCTTTTACTGTATATTTCTGAAAACCTTACTTTAATAAAGTATTATAAAATGTTAATAGCAATACAATATTTAAATATAAAATTGCACATTCTAACATCGTGTGCAATATCTGTTTGCTTTTTTTATGCTGTCTTTCTAACTCGATTTCTTCTAACCTTCACTCTGATATTTTCCGTTCTTTTTAAACTTATTTACTTTTAGTCCATTGAAAGGGGTTATGAAACTTTAGTCAGCTGAACTCGTATAACCAGGCCTTTGCATGTGGCATCTATTTTGTAATTAGTCGGAGAAGGAATAAACACAATACCATAATAAAATATACTTTACAAAATTACAATACAACTAAATAATAATATTATAATATGCTGTCAAAACCGTATCTTATAGCAGTGTGTTAGTGTGCATTAACAGTTTGTTATTGTATTATTATACTATAAAAGAAGTTAAGCAAGATAAATAAATAGTAAAATCATTTTAAAAATGATAATATAAATCAGAGAAATTCAAAACGTTAAATAACGGTATAAATTTAAAAGTCCTAAAATAGGTTTAAATCTCAACAATTTATAAATTTTAACGTATAATAATATACGCCAAAAATACATTTAAATATTAATGTCTAAATTACGTTTCTATTAAGTCTTATTCTGGATTTCATTCTGAACAGATGTTTGCCAAAAATTAAACTTTTTGTCTAAACTTTGTTTCGACGTTTAACAGACATTTATGTGTTTATTGGGTCGGCTATAAGCTGAACTTAAGAATATTTGTTTCATTTTTAATAACAAAATTTCACTAAAATCTAAAATAATTTTAACATTTATTACTTAATATACTTGTTTTATTATAATTATTAAAAAAAAAAAATTGTATGAAGCTAAACGAGGTTTATATACTCCATATGAAATAAAAAAAATACCAAATAGGGAAAGCGGGGCATGATGACAAATGGGTCAAGATAAGTTTTCATATAACAACTCAACAAAAAATCTTAAAGTTGAGTGAAAACGAAACTGTATTTTGATTTTGTATTTTTTAAACACCAATTGGTTTTTTTAAATAATATTAATGCAAGTTTATACGCATAAGTTTACTTTTTGTGCTTAAAAAAAAAATTCCTTAGTTTCGGTTTCTCATAATGGATGGTGTCCTTCAAGTTTTTTTTTTTTTTTTGTTCTTATTTCAATACATTCAAAGAAAAATTAGTTTATTTACAATTAGATCGTTAGGAAAAATTTACAATTAGATTGTTAAAAACGTTACTCAATGAGAAATAAATAAACTTAAGATAAACTTAAGACTTTTTTGTTAATATGAAAAGAACGCGGAGACTCGCAGAAGACCATAAAGTCTTGTCATCAAGAACCGCTCGTAAATTAAAACTTCATAAAGTTCAATATATATATATATATATATATATATATATATATATATATATATATATATATATATATATATATATATATATATATATATATATATATATATATATATATATATATATATATATATATATATATATATATATATATATATATATATACATATATATATATATATATATATATATATATATATATATATATATATATATATATATATATATATATATATATATATATATACATATATACATATATATATATATATATATATATATATATATATATATATATATCAAGTCAAGTGCATATATAGTTAATCACATTTAAGTGCATGTTCTTAAAAATATTTAACTGCATAAACATAAACTAAAATGATACATCAAATTAATAACGTTTAAAAATATGAGAATATATCATCATGTGACAAAATGATTTCTTTAAGCTTATTTCTAAATTAAAAATAACTCCATTGCAGAGAAAATTAAAATGTTTTGAAACTATTTTGTTCCAAAGACAAGTTTCTCGAAAAGAAATACTTGATGTTCCAAAATTAGTCTGAAAAAATGGTTGACGAGTTAAGTTATTATTTCTTAAATTGTATTTATTTTTATATTTCAGCGTGTATAAATTATGGAAAGAAACTGGGGAAGAGTTAATTGTACATTTATATATAAAACAAAGAATACTAAAAACATTCAGCTGATGTATATTAGGAATTTTCATTTCAAATAAAAGAGGCATGGCATGAGTAAGTCTGTTTTTAAAATTAATAAAACGAGCAACATACTTCTGTTGACGATAAAGAGGCTCCAATTAACATTTATTGGCATTTATTTAACACACCTCTAGCTTTATACAATATTCCTATACTTTAGGCAATTTTATTACACAAGAATTCAATGTAATATTTCCAACTAATGTTTTCATTGACATAGATACCCAAAAAAATAGCACTAATTACTCTTTTTATTTGGATATTATCAATAAAAAGTAAAGGTAGTTCACAAGAAAGTATTTTTTTTTAGACGCTGGATGAAAAAGTGTCCATTTTGTTTTTTCAACATAAAGTGAAAGTTTATTAATTTTAAACCAATCAGATATATTTGTTAATACTATGTTCTTATCTTAAATTAATGTAGTTATGCTATTATCAGACAAAAAGAGGTTAGTGTCATCGGCAAACATGGCTGACATCAAATTAGAAGCTTTATGAAGATCATTAATATAAATGAGAAAGAGAAGGAGTTCTAATATCGAGTCCTGCGGAACCCAACAGGTTATGTTTAAAAAATTAGATGGGTTAACTTCATTACTATATACAAGTTTAACTTCTTTAGAACTAGTTTTTTGCAGCTTGCGTTTATTTTGTGTTACTTTAATTAGAGTTATTGGCAGTTTTAGAAACTTTATAAAATTGAAGGCAAAAATTGCATAATAACTATTAACTAAATCTAAAACATAATAACTAAATCTTGCCTCGGTAACGTGACGAGATGACAAACTTTTAAACTTTTCATTTTAATATTTATTTGAAGGTGTTATATTTGCAAACTGCATAAACATACTGAGAAAGTATTTTTGCTTCACGACCAAGAGTTTTTGCAACAACTCAGAGCTTTGGAAACGTTCGCCAGGGTGCCCCATCTACCCCTATACTCAATATAAAATAAGAAAACGTGGAGAAAGTTTTAAAAATAAATTTTTAAAACAGAGGCTATTCTGAAAAAATATTTAAGAACGCTTAAACTAAATATTTTTTATAACCACCAGTTAATTTTTATAACTGCCAGTTAAAGTTATTTTTATTTTAATTAACTACGAAACGTTACACAAACATAACTCTGAACTCGGAAACTTTTATAAATTAATACAAAAAGTAATAAAAAATGTTAATAATTTTTATTTTTAAGCTCAACCACCTCCTTATTACCAATCTACAACAATGCCTGTGCAGCAACAACCAGATTTTAGAAATACACCTCAATATCAAAACAGCAATCAACCCCAGCAATTTTACACTTCAGCTACTTTAATTGGAAATGTACCGTACGAAAATGTAAGTGACTTAATTTTATGTATTTAAAATTTAATAAAATTTAATAAATTTATTACTTAAAATCATTCATATAACGTTGTAACATTTAAAAATACATTTTTTGGTAATGCAATCCCAAATCCTAAAGAAGTTTTAAAAGTTTCTTCTTTTGATGCCTATTAAAAGACAAAGAATTCAATTTGTTTGATTTTTATAAACCTGACTGTTTTTCTTCAAATTGTTTCTGAACAATTAAATGATGTTAATTATATTCAGATTTAATATCTCAAAGGGTATGATTATCGGTCACATTATTAAGTTTTATTTATAGTAAAAAAATGTCTAGGGGTTCTTCCGTGGACTTACAAAGAAGTATTCATTCTTATCCTACTTGAAAAATTATCTCAAAAAATAAATATAGGATCGTTAATGTATTTTAAAACCTAATTTTATAGAAACTTACAATATTTGTCGGAAACAATTTTAGGCCAAAACCAAATATTGCTTTAACTTGCTTGCAAATAATAGTAAGTATAATCAACCATAAAAAAGTAGTCTACATTTTATTTACAAAACATAAAAATTCAAAAATTTATTCTTTTTTATCAAAAAGAAAAAAGTCAGCATTTTCGATCGTTTTTTTTTGTTACTGTTGATTTTTTTGTATTTAAATTTGACTTGAAGAAAAATTAATTTTTAAACAAGCTCATCATGACCCGTAAAGTGCAGGTTTTGATACATCAACTTCACATCGACCTTTTTTATACCTCTTACTACTTAAATATGTTTTAGTAAGCGGTAAAAAATAACTAGAAAAAAATTATACTTCTCAGCATAATTAAGGAAAGATCCGAAGAAACATATAGCGTTTAGTCTCTTTCGTTTACGAAAAATGTTGCTATATATCACGCGCCTTTTGTTTGATTTATTTTTTTTTTAATTACAAAGCTCGCTGTTTTATTTTGTTTTCAAACATTTAGTGATTTTATTATCGACGAGTTTGATGTTTTACCAAAGGCTGAAACGTTTTTGTTTAATAATTTATTGAAACAACGGTAATGATATTATGGCAGTGACAAGCTATGAGTAAAAAATAACGAGGAAACTTCAATTTTGTAACGTTTTTACTGTTTACGGAAAGATGAAGTAAGAGGTTTGTAGTCATTTACTGAATACTTTAATGCTGTAGACATAAAGTCTTTTTACTTTGAATTAAAAGAGACAACTTTAAAATGTAAACATTTAACACATATGATTCAGCTGTTTTCATGAAGCTGCCCAGTCGCGTTTTATATATTTTTGTGGCAGTTTTGTTTTGCTTGATGCTCTGGTTAAAAAAATTTATAAAATAATAATAGACTATATAAGTAAAGCTTAAATTCTACTTTTTCAAAATATATTGTACTAACATTCGAAAATAAGCAAAAATGGAAGTTTGAAAATGTAAATTTTTGTTTTTAAGAAATGCAAATTGTTCGGATCTCTCCTTAATTACGCTGAGTTATTGTTTATTTTTAAAAGCTATATTTAAAAAAGATATTCCTTGTATAGTTACTTTTAAAAAACGTTATATGTTACGGTAGACGTTGCAAGATATATCTAAAATGGAAAAAAAAAAAAAAAAAAAGCATTGTTAAGAATAGTCAAAATTTGTAAAAGTCACTTACTGCAAAGCTATTACACAAAATCACGAAAACATTAGAGCTATCGGTGCAAACAAGTTTTGTAATTCGACCAGAAAATAAAATTATTCTAAACTTCATTTCGAAAAACTACTTTCTTTTTAAACATATAACTAATGATCAACAAAGTAAATTTTAAATAATTAAAGTTTACTAAGTTAAAACCATATTTTAGCAGTTAAGTAAACTAATGATAGTTAGTAAAACGAACTAAAATAACAACTAAAATTAAAATATTTCTATTTAAACATGACAAATAACGCTACCATCATGAAATAATAAAAGTAAATTTACAAAAAAAAAAAAGAGTAAATAAAAAGGATATGATAAAATGTTAATTTTTTTTTTTAATTTAATCAAAAAAATTATTGTTTTCATAATCAGATAAAGACACATCAATAAAAAACATACACAGTAAAAAAGTTATTTTGCTTATTTATTGAAGGTACTTATTTGTTACCTCAAATCAAGTGATTGTTACTTATAATAAAAATTATTAAACGCAATTTAAAATAATCACAAAATCTAAACTGACAATAAAATATTATTCTGTCACGGAGGAATCATAAACACCGTCACAGCAGCAAGTTATTTATTATTTTGCATGTTCTGCTGACTGAATTTTCGATGGTATTTAGTGTAAAAGCAGAATGTACACCTTTTCAACAACAATTTTTTATAAACATTATATTAAAAAAAACTTAACATAAAAAAAAAGAAACAAAGTTGGTCTTTTTTCAGAAACAAATTTGAATAAAAAATGTTAATACAAATATACATATATTACATGTTCGTTTAAAAGATGTACATAAGTACTTTCCCTTTCCTACTTTAACTCCGTCTACTTTCGGCAAGGTAATCTCCTCTCCTCTAATGAAGGGAAATCTTTTCCCGTTCTAGGCCCACACCCTATGCGCACTATAGGATGTAGGCTCTTCACAGAGCGACGACTCTTACAAAACTTAATAAGATTTCTTATTAAAAACTATAGTAAGATTAGTAAGGCTTGCAAGACGAGCAAGAAAACTAATAAGATCATATTAAAATTTCTAAGTTTACGTATGATTTCTTTGTAAGATTTGAAAGTAATGCAAGATCTTAATAATATACGTGATTTATATCATACTTTTTAGTAAGACTTTCAAGGATTTTTTTTGGTGTTTACAAGTTGAATAAAAATACCAAAACAATTCAACTCAGATTAGATTGATCTTGTATCATTCAATGGCTTCTTTAATTTTTCTACTAATGCACAATATTGGTTGGGGTATCTTTCTTTAGCGTTTTCAATTGAATAATTTATTTTTAGATCGACTTAGTAACTTTAAATTTTCTGCACCAAAATATTTTATGCAAAATTAATACTATTTTATTACAACTCGTAACTAACAATGATGCATAAATCAACACTTAGAAATAAATCAAGACTTAGACTAATACTTAAGAATAAATCTCTAACCCATAGTTTAAGACTGTACAGGAAAAACCAGTTTCATAAATTTGAGCACCCAGTGGAACTAATTTGTGTATTTACATCCTTTTCATCGTGCACTGGTGTATAACTATTACTTCTGCCAATATACAAAAAAAAAACTATTAGACACAAGTGAGGTGTTTAAATATAATTAACAATAAAGAAATCAACTAACAGTCATATAACATATGTAAGACTAGAGTAATCAAAAACAAAAAGCATTTTTTATTAAAATTAAAAACATGAGCAAATGTTGGTTTTGTAGGCTCTGTAGTCTTAATTAAATATAACATTCATTAGCTTACAACTATTTCTATACTTCTCCAAGTGTTCCAAGATATTAAAGATATTGTTTTTCAAAAGCAAATACATTAAGGGAAATGAATTTTATATAATCTTTATACATAATCTAAAAATCAAATATTAAATATTTATTTTTAATATAAAAAGTAATTATTTTGAATTGAATATGATTGCACGTTATACATATTATTCTTAAATATTGAAAAATATCATTTCAAATCTTACACTTTTTTTTTCGTTTTAGTTTGCTAGCTCCTCCGAATAATTTGCCATAATTATATTATTTTGTCATAATTAACATACTTGTATCTTTGTTTTCACAACCATTACAAAGTTTTGGTTCTGTGTTTATCGTGTTTGTCATATTCTGAAAGCATATCAAATTTAACTGAAAATTGTATTATATTAGAGCAAGTATATTACATGGGGACTGATTTGGATATTTTAAAAAAAATTTACAGTTTTATTATCATTAAATTATCAGAAATTGTATAGATTTGCGCAAAACATAAGGAAGTATTATCTTATCTTACTTCACATTTCATAACAAACAGTTTCAGGAGAACTGATGGTGTTGTCCAATAAATGCCTCTAAACTTATAGTGGCTTGTTGCAGCTGCTTGTCACCATATGCTTCTACAATTATATTTAACTAAAAACATGATAATATTGTATATATATATATATATATATATATATATATATATATATATATATATATATATATATATATATATATATATATATATATATATATATATATATATATATATATATATATATATATATGTATATATATACAAAATATTGTTTATTATTATTCATCAATTTGTGAAAAAAGTCCTTTATATCAGGATTTTAAAAAAAAATATATATATATAAAAAATTTCTTATAAAAAAAGTGGGGGGTGTTGTCCGCCCTGATACAGACTTGATCAAAATGTCACTTTTTGAATGTTGCATTCTTCTTCTTTTTCAAATAAAATTTAGATTTATTTATTGATTAATTTTTTTCTGATAAGAGTTAATTATTGCCATTACACAAGCTTCATTGCTTTGCAATTCAAGTTGCAATTATAAAAAAGAATTACTAATTGAGAAGAATATTGTATCATTCTTTTAATAGCTTATCTTATATGCTAAATGATTTAAATATTATGACTTATAAATAAACATATGATCAGAGTAGAACACCCTGGCATCATTCTCAAAGCAACAAAGAAGTTCATAAACATAACCTTATTGAGTCAATTAATCTTTACTGTACAGTATTCAAATAGCTACACTTAAACTAATAACAAAAAAACGGATGTATTTTTCTTTGCTTATTATATGATTCAAAACTACTTGCCCACATTAAAAAAGAAAAGTTCTGAACTCAAAGTCTTTCCGCAACTTCATATACTTTAGAATTGGTTTTACAACACGGTTTACAATTAAATTCTATGTGAATGTATCCTTTTAAGGAACATAAGCAAACAGTTAATAAATTAATTTGCTCAGATAACAATCAAAGAACAAGCAGTCCCTTTTCCAGATAAAATGTATACTTTTAGTAAAAG